GTGGAAATATAGTGTAATATTTAATGTAAATAAAAAAAATAACACAAAATAACCCGATATTATTACCCCTTCAACATTAATATGTACAAGTTTCTATGTGAGGTCATCCAGAGCTGTGTCACTAGCCCTCACACTAGCATCATGACGGATGACGGACACTATACGCCTCAGACGAGGTCTTCAACGTGCCACTAGCACTCACCTCACGCTAGCAGCTGTCATGGAGAGGCCTACAAGCGCTCCCCCCTCCGTAGCGCACTCACTGGTACGCTCTATCAGCAAAGTTAGTAATGCTCAACTAGCCCCACTGGCTAGCACCTTCCAATAGTAAAGTCCACAGCGCTCAACTAGCCCACTTGGCTAGTACCTTCAGGTGGAACCTACTACTCTTCCACTCCCCCAGCTTCACTGACTACCATCGCCGGTCCCTGGTTACTCGCCACCAATCAGCACAGCAGACTAGAAGATTGGAAACTACGATTAATGCAAAGGTCAACTGCTATAGTTGATCCGGCACTTGGCTCATAGATGGCGTCGAGGTCCGTCATACGATGTGACATCAACTTCTAGATCTTTCTCTCTGTCCGTTTCAGAAAGAACTTCATCTCCCATTCTAAATCCTGTGTCTGGCCTCCTGTTTCCTCTGCCTAGTTTCATTACCTTACATTTACTTGAGTTGAACTTTAGTAGCCATTTGTTGGACCATTCCTTCAGTTGGTTTAGGTCATCTTGTAGCCTCTTACTAAATAATGTAGCCTTACTTACTAAATAACCAACCACAGGTCAGAGAACTTCTGAGATTCTGTGACAAATTCTCACTCAGTCAGCAGATTACAGAACCGACTAGGAACGAAAATACGCTGGACCTGATATTCACGATCAATGATGAACTAATCAGAGACATTCCTGTCTCAGACACTATGTACTCGGACCACAAGCTCATTGAAGTGCAAATTAACCTTAATAATGGTAGTAGGCTCAAGAGAAACAACAAGCGAGAAGGGTTATTTACTGACTTAAATTTTAATAATAAAAGGATAGACTGGGAGAAAATAAACAGGGAACTTACAAACATTCAATGGGAAAATGGTTTAAGAAATAAAAATCCTACACAAGGAATAGAAAAAACTGACTTCTTAAGCATATGAAGTCTGTCTGAAACATGTTCCTTTGAGGAAAGCCAGAAAGAGGTCCAATGTAGAAAGAGAACGCAGACGACATTACAAAAGAAGGAAGAAATTAACGGAAATGCTTAAGCAGACATGACTCTCCATACAAAGAAGGAATAATTTAAACTTGGAGAGTGAAGAAATCGAACAGAGACTGAAACATTCCTATCAGATTGAAGAAAGGCAACTAGAACAGAAAGCAATTCAAGAAATAAAGAAAAACTCAAAATATTTCTTCACATATGCTAAATCAAAAGCAAAAACCACTACCAGTATTGGACCTATTCGTACTAGTGAAGGTTCATACACTGAGGATGACAAAGAAATTAGTGAAATCCTAAAAATGCAGTATGAGGACATGTTTAGCACTCCGATACACAGCATGAAGGTGGAAGATCCGGACAATTTCTTTATGCGTGATATCCAAACACCTGTAAATATAACTGATATCAAGACGAGCGAAGCAGATTTTGAAAGAGGAATTGACAATATGCCCATGCACTCAGCCCCGGGTACAGACTCATCGAATTCAATATTTATAAAGAAATGCAAAGTGCCAATAGCACAGGTACTCAGTATAGTGTGGAGGCAGAGCTTGGACACGGGGGAGAAACCAGATGTGCTTAAAGCAGCAGACATAGCCCCTCTATACAGGGGAGGGGCTATACAAGCATTGGCAAAGAATTATTGACCAGTTGCATTAACGTCCCACATAAAAGTATTTAAGATAGTGATCAAGAGACAGGTCACTAGATTCATGGAAACCAATGACCTCCACAATCTAGGCCAACATGGATTTAGAGCAGGAAGATCATGCCTCTCACAGCTACTTGACTATTATGACAAAATCACTGAGGCATTAGAAGAAAAACAGAATGCAGATGTAGTATATACAGACTTTGCATAGGCATTCGACAAATGTGACCATGGAGTGGTTGCACACAAAATGAGGTCAATGGGAATAACTGGTAAAGTAGGACTCTGGATACTCAATTTCCTGTCGAACAGAACACAAAGAGTAACAGTCAATCAAGTAAAATAGACTCCGAGCGCAGTTAAAAGCTCTGTACCTCAAGGTACAGTCCTTGCACCACTGCTGTTCCTTATTCTCATATCTGATATAGACAAAAATACAAGTCACAGCTTCGTGTCATCCTTTGCAGATGATACAAAATTCAGCATGAAAATTACCTCTGCTGAAGACATTAAAAAACTACAAACAGACATTAACAAAGTTTTCGATTGGACTCGTTCCTGGTTCTCTGGTATCTCTCTCTACTTTCTGGTGTTCTGTTATTACGGAAGTTCCTCCGTGCCCTTTTGTTCAGCTCCTTTGCTTTCATACATTCCCTATTAAACCACGGAACCATGTGTGTGTGTGTGTGTGTGTGTGTGTATTCATCTAGTTGTGCTTGTAGGGGGTTGAGCTCTGGCTCTTTGGTCCATATTTGTGGATGATCTCTTCATGGTGTGTGTGTCTCTGTTTCTTTGTCTTAGTGTCTCTGCATGGATGGTGTGTTTGTTCAGTGTTTGTCGTCCTCACGCTCTCTGTCTCTGTCTCTGACACTCTCCCTCTCCCTCTCCCTCTCCCTCTCCCTCTCCCTCTCCCTTTCTCTCTCCCTCTCCCTCTCCCTCTCCCTCTCCCTTTCTCTCTCCCTCTCCCTCTCCCTCTCCCTCTCCCTCCCTCCATCAGCTCCACGCCCTCACCAACAATCCTCGCTGCTCGACAAAGGAAGAGTTCCCCAGGCCCCGCCCAGGGCTATTTTGGCTTGCCTGAACACTGCTTAAATTCACTCCAGCGCCCCGTTCCTTTCCTTAATGTACATGATGTTTCTCGCCCGCCTTTCTTAGAGTATCTTTGAGTATCTTAGAGTGTCTTAAAGTATCTTAGAGTATCTTTGAGTATCTTAGAGTATCTTTGTGTAGTTAGTACTGCTTCTTCTCTCCTGGGAGACGTGTTAGGTTCTTCCTGGGGTACTAAGGTTTTCTTCCTGGGGTACTAAGGTGTTCTTCCTGGGGTACTAAGGTGTTCTTCCTGGGGTACTAAGGTGTTCTTCCTGGGGTACTAAGGTGTTCTTCATGAGGTACTTATGTGTTCTTCATGAGGTACTTATGTGTTCTTCATGAGGTACTTATGTGTTCTTCATGAGGTACTTATGTGTTCTTCCTGGGGTACTAAGGTGTTCTTCATGAGGTACTTATGTGTTCTTCCTGGGGTACTAAGGTGTTCTTCATGAGGTACTTATGTGTTCTTCATGGGGAACTTATGTGTTCTTCATGGGGTACTTATATGTTCTTCATGGGGTTCTTATGTGTTCTTCATGGGGTACTTATGTGTTCTTCATGGGGTTCTCTACGTGTTCTTCATGGGGTTCTTATGTGTTCTTCATGGGGTACTTATGTGTTCTTCATGGGGTACTTATGTGTTCTGCATCGGGTATTTATGTGTTCTTCATGGGGTACTTATGTGTTCTTCATGAGGTACTTATGTGTTCTTCATGGGGTACTTATGTGTTCTTCATGGGGTACTTATCATGGGGTGTTCTTCCTGGTTTGTTACTACTGTGATATACACTGTTTTGTTCATCTTGCGTTAAATTCATGATTTCTTCATTGCAGAACACCACCATCACCTTCATTAGCATCATCATTATCACCACCACCACCATCAACGCCCCTACAATCACCACATCTACCACCATTAACACCACCACTATCATCACCAGCACCACCATCACCACTACTATTACCAGCACCAGCACCACCTCCACCACAACCACAACCACCACAACCACCACAACCACCAACACAACCACCACCACCACAACCACTAACACAACCACCACCACCACCACCAACACAACCACCAACACCACCACCACCACCACAACCACTAATACAACCACCACCACCACCACCACCAACACAACCACCAACACCACCACCACCACCACCACAACCACCACCACAACCACCACCACCACAACCACCACCATCACAATCACCACCACCACAACCACCACCACAACCACCACCACAACCACCACCACAACCACCACCACCACAACCACCACCACAACCACCACCATCACAATCACCACCACCACAACCACCACCACAACCACCACCACAACCACCACCACAACCACCACCACCACAACCACCAACACAACCACCACCACCACCACCACCACCACAACCACCACAACCACCACCACAACCACCACCACAACTACCACCACAACCACCACCACAACCACCACCATCACAATCACCACCACCACAACCACCAACACAACCACCACCACCATCACAATCACCACCACCACCACCACCACCACAACCAACACAACCAACACAACCACCACCACCACCACCATCACAATCACCACCACCACCACAACCAACACCACCACCACCACCACAACCACCACCACCATCACAATCACCACCACCACCACCATCACCAATACCAACACAATCACCACCACAACCACCACCACCACCACCATCACAATCACCACCACCACCACAACCAACACCACCACCACCACCACAACCACCACCACCATCACAATCACCACCACCACCACCATCACCAATACCAACACAATCACCACCACAACCACCACCACCACCATCACAATCACCACCACCACCACAACCAACACCACCACCACAACCACCACCACCATCACAATCACCACCACCACCACCATCACCAATACCAACACAATCACCACCACAACCAACACAACCACCACCACCATCGCAATCACCACAACCACCACAACCAACAACATCATTACCATTGAAAAAGTAATAAAATACAGTGGAATGTAAAGCAACAGTGGAATGTAAAGCAACAGTGGGAGGTATAGCAACAGTGGGAGGTATAGCAACAGTTGGAGCCATAACAACCGTGGGAGCCATAGCAACAGTGGGAGCTACAGCAACAGTGGGCACCATAACAACAGTGGGAGCTACAGCAACAGTGGGAGCCATAAAAATAGTGGGAGGTATATCAACAGAGGAAGGTATAGTAGCAGTGGGACCCATAGCAACAGTGGGAGCTACAGCAACAGTGGGCACCATAACAACAGTGGGAGCTACAGCAACAGTGGGAGCCATAAAAATAGTGGGAGGTATATCAACAGAGGAAGGTATAGTAGCAGTGGGACCCATAGCAACAGTGGGAGCTACAGCAACAGTGGGCACCATAACAACAGTGGGAGCTACAGCAACAGTGGGCACCATAACAACAGTGGAAGCTACAGCAACAGTGGGCACCATAACAACAGTGGGAGCTACAGCAACAGTGGGAGCCATAAAAATAGTGGGAGGTATATCAACAGAGGAAGGTATAGTAGCAGTGGGACCCATAGCAACAGTGGGAGCTACAGCAACAGTGGGCACCATAACAACAGTGGGAGCTACAGCAACAGTGGGCACCATAACAACAGTGGGAGCTACAGCAACAGTGGGCACCATAACAACAGTGGGAGCTACAGCAACAGTGGGCACCATAACAACAGTGGGAGCTACAGCAACAGTGGGCACCATAACAACAGTGGGAGCTACAGCAACAGTGGGCACCATAACAACAGTGGGAGCTACAGCAACAGTGGGCACCATAACAACAGTGGGAGCTACAGCAACAGTGGGCACCATAACAACAGTGGGAGCTACAGCAACAGTGGGCACCATAACAACAGTGGGAGCTACAGCAACAGTGGGCACCATAACAACAGTGGGAGCTACAGCAACAGTGGGAGGTATTGTAACAGTGGGAGGTATAACAACAGTGGGAGGTATAGCAACAGTGGGAGGTATTGTAACAGTGGGAGGTATAGCAACAGTGGGAGGTATTGTAACAGTGGGAGGTATAGCAACAGTGGGAGGTATTGTAACAGTGGGAGGTATAACAACAGTGGGAGGTATAGCAACAGTGGGAGGTATAGCAGGAGTGGGAGGTATAGCAACAGTGGGAGGTATAGCAACAGTGGGAGGTATCATTGGGAGGCGTAGCAACAGTGGGAGGTATTGTAACAGTGGGAGGTATAGCAACAGTGGGAGGTATAGCAACAGTGGGAGGTATAGCAACAGTTGGAGCCATAACAACCGTGGGAGCCATAGCAACAGTGGGAGCTACAGCAACAGTGGGCACCATAACAACAGTGGGAGCTACAGCAACAGTGGGAGCCATAAAAATAGTGGGAGGTATATCAACAGAGGAAGGTATAGTAGCAGTGGGACCCATAGCAACAGTGGGAGCTACAGCAACAGTGGGCGCCATAACAACAGTGGGAGCTACAGCAACAGTGGGAGCCATAAAAATAGTGGGAGGTATATCAACAGAGGAAGGTATAGTAGCAGTGGGACCCATAGCAACAGTGGGAGCTACAGCAACAGTGGGCACCATAACAACAGTGGGAGCTACAGCAACAGTGGGAGCCATAAAAATAGTGGGAGGTATATCAACAGAGGAAGGTATAGTAGCAGTGGGACCCATAGCAACAGTGGGAGCTACAGCAACAGTGGGCACCATAACAACAGTGGGAGCTACAGCAACAGTGGGCACCATAAAAACAGTGGGAGCTACATCAACAGTATAGGCACCATAACAACAGTGGGAGCTACAGCAACAGTGGGCACCATAACAACAGTGGGAGCTAGAGCAACAGTGGGCAGCATAGCCACAGTGGGAGCTACAGCAACAGTGGGATCCATAGCAACAGTGGGAGCTACAGCAACAGTGGGCACCATAACAACAGTGGGAGCTACAGCAACAGTGGGCACCATAACAACAGTGGGAGCTACAGCAACAGTGGGCACCATAACAACAGTGGGAGCTACAGCAACAGTGGGCACCATAACAACAGTGGGAGCTACAGCAACAGTGGGCACCATAACAACAGTGGGAGCTACAGCAACAGTGGGCACCATAACAACAGTGGGAGCTACAGCAACAGTGGGCACCATAACAACAGTGGGAGCTACAGCAACAGTGGGCACCATAACAACAGTGGGAGCTACAGCAACAGTGGGCACCATAACAACAGTGGGAGCTACAGCAACAGTGGGCACCATAACAACAGTGGGAGCTACAGCAACAGTGGGCACCATAACAACAGTGGGAGCTACAGCAACAGTGGGAGGTATTGTAACAGTGGGAGGTATAACAACAGTGGGAGGTATAGCAACAGTGGGAGGTATTGTAACAGTGGGAGGTATAGCAACAGTGGGAGGTATTGTAACAGTGGGAGGTATAGCAACAGTGGGAGGTATTGTAACAGTGGGAGGTATAACAACAGTGGGAGGTATAGCAACAGTGGGAGGTATAGCAGGAGTGGGAGGTATAGCAACAGTGGGAGGTATAGCAACATTGGGAGGCGTAGCAACAGTGGGAGGTATTGTAACAGTGGGAGGTATAGCAACAGTGGGAGGTATAGCAACAGTGGGAGGTATAACAACAGTGGGAGGTATAGCAACAGTGGGAGGTATAGCAGGAGTGGGAGGTATAGCAACAGTGGGAGGTATAGCAACATTGGGAGGCGTAGCAACAGTGGGAGGTATTGTAACAGTGGGAGGTATAGCAACAGTGGGAGGTATAGCAACAGTGGGAGGTATAGCAACAGTGGGAGGTATGGCAACAGTGGGAGGAATAGCAACAGTGAGAGGAATAGCAACAGTAGGAGCCATAACAACAGTGTGAGGTAAAGCAACGGTAGGAATTATAGCAACAGTGGGAGGTATAGAACCAGTGGGAGGCATAGCAACAGTGGGAGCCATGACAACAGTGAGAGGTTTAGCAACAGTGTGAGGTATAGCAACAGAGGGAGGTATAGTAACAGTGGGAGGTATAGCAACAGTGGGAGCTATCACAACAGTGGGAGGTATAGCAACAGTAAGAGGTATAGCAACAGTGGGAGCCTTAACAACAGTAGGAGGTACAGCAACAGTGGGAGGTATAGCAGAAGTGGGAGGAATAGCAACAGTGGGAGCCATAGCAACAGTTGGAGGTATAGCAACAGTGGGGAGCTATAACAACAGTGGGAGGTATAGCAACAGTGGGAGTTATAACAACAGTAGGAGGTATAGCAACAGTGGGAGGTATCGAAACAATGGTAGGTATAACAGCAGTGGGAGCAATAGGAACAGCCATTGCAACAAAAACAGTGAAAGGTATAGCAACAGTGGGATGCATAGCAACAGTGGGAGCCATAGCAACAGTGGGCACCATAACAACAGTGGGAGCTACAGCAACAGTGGGAGCCATAAAAATAGTGGGAGGTATATCAACAGAGGAAGGTATAGTAGCAGTGGGACCCATAGCAACAGTGGGAGCTACAGCAACAGTGGGCACCATAACAACAGTGGGAGCTACAGCAACAGTGGGAGCCATAAAAATAGTGGGAGGTATATCAACAGAGGAAGGTATAGTAGCAGTGGGACCCATAGCAACAGTGGGAGCTACAGCAACAGTGGGCACCATAACAACAGTGGGAGCTACAGCAACAGTGGGCACCATAACAACAGTGGGAGCTACAGCAACAGTGGGCACCATAACAACAGTGGGAGCTACAGCAACAGTGGGCACCATAACAACAGTGGGAGCTACAGCAACAGTGGGCACCATAACAACAGTGGGAGCTACAGCAACAGTGGGCACCATAACAACAGTGGGAGCTACAGCAACAGTGGGCACCATAACAACAGTGGGAGCTACAGCAACAGTGGGCACCATAACAACAGTGGGAGCTACAGCAACAGTGGGCACCATAACAACAGTGGGAGCTACAGCAACAGTGGGCACCATAACAACAGTGGGAGCTACAGCAACAGTGGGAGGTATTGTAACAGTGGGAGGTATAACAACAGTGGGAGGTATAGCAACAGTGGGAGGTATTGTAACAGTGGGAGGTATAGCAACAGTGGGAGGTATTGTAACAGTGGGAGGTATAGCAACAGTGGGAGGTATTGTAACAGTGGGAGGTATAACAACAGTGGGAGGTATAGCAACAGTGGGAGGTATAGCAGGAGTGGGAGGTATAGCAACAGTGGGAGGTATAGCAACATTGGGAGGCGTAGCAACAGTGGGAGGTATTGTAACAGTGGGAGGTATAGCAACAGTGGGAGGTATAGCAACAGTGGGAGGTATAACAACAGTGGGAGGTATAGCAACAGTGGGAGGTATAGCAGGAGTGGGAGGTATAGCAACAGTGGGAGGTATAGCAACATTGGGAGGCGTAGCAACAGTGGGAGGTATTGTAACAGTGGGAGGTATAGCAACAGTGGGAGGTATAGCAACAGTGGGAGGTATAGCAACAGTGGGAGGTATGGCAACAGTGGGAGGAATAGCAACAGTGAGAGGAATAGCAACAGTAGGAGCCATAACAACAGTGTGAGGTAAAGCAACGGTAGGAAGTATAGCAACAGTGGGAGGTATAGAACCAGTGGGAGGCATAGCAACAGTGGGAGCCATGACAACAGTGAGAGGTTTAGCAACAGTGTGAGGTATAGCAACAGAGGGAGGTATAGTAACAGTGGGAGGTATAGCAACAGTGGGAGCTATCACAACAGTGGGAGGTATAGCAACAGTAAGAGGTATAGCAACAGTGGGAGCCTTAACAACAGTAGGAGGTACAGCAACAGTGGGAGGTATAGCAGAAGTGGGAGGAATAGCAACAGTGGGAGCCATAGCAACAGTTGGAGGTATAGCAACAGTGGGGAGCTATAACAACAGTGGGAGGTATAGCAACAGTGGGAGTTATAACAACAGTAGGAGGTATAGCAACAGTGGGAGGTATCGAAACAATGGTAGGTATAACAGCAGTGGGAGCAATAGGAACAGCCATTGCAACAAAAACAGTGAAAGGTATAGCAACAGTGGGATGCATAGCAACAGTGGGAGCCATAGCAACAGTTGGAGGTATAGCAACTGTGAGGAGCCATAACAACAGTGGGAGATATAACAAATGGGGATGGTATAACAACTGTGGGAGGTATAGCAACAGTGGGAGGTATAGCAACAGTGGGAGCCATGGCAACAGTTGGAGGTATAGCAACTGTGAGGAGCCATAAGAACAGTGGGAGAGGTAGCAATAGTGGGAGGTATAGCAACAGTGGAAGGCATAGCAACAGAGGGAGCCATAACAACAGTGAGAGCCATAGCAACAGTATGAGGTATAACAACAGTAGGAGCCATAGCAACAGTAGGAGTTATAGCAACAGTGGGAAGTATAGCAACAGTGAGACCCATAGCAACAGTGGGACCCATAGCAACAGTGGGAGCCATAGGAACAGTGGGAGTTATAGTAACAGTGGGAGGTATAACAACAGTGGGAGCCATAGCACCAGTGGGAGCCATAGCAACAGTGGAAGGTATAGGAACAGTGGGAGGTATTGCAACAGTGGGAGCCATAGCAACAGTGGGCGAAAGAGCAACAGTGGAAGTCATAGCAACAGTGGGAGCCATAGGAACATTGAGAGTCATGGCAAATGTGGGAGGCATGGCAACAGTGGGAGGCATGGCAACAGTGGGAGGCATGGCAACAGTGGGAGGCATGGCAACAGTGGGAGGTATAGCAACAGTGGGAGCCATAGCAACAGTGAGAGGTATTGCAACAGTGGGAGCCATAGCAACAGTGGGAGGTAGAGCAACAGTGGGAGCTATAACAACAGTGGGAGCCATAGCAACAGTGGGAGCCATAACAACAGTGGGAGGTATAGCATTAGTGGGAGGTATAACAACAGTAGGAGGTATAGTAACAGTGGGAGGTATAGCAACAATGGGAGGTATAACAGCAGTGGGAGCCATAGCAACAAAAACAGTGAAAGGTATAGCAACAGTGGGAGCCATAGCAACATTTGGAGTTATAACAAATGTGAGGAGCCATAACAACAGTGGGAGGTATAGCAATAGTTTGAGGTATAACAACAGTGGAAGGCATGGCAACAGAGGGAGCCATAACAACAGTGGGAGCCATAGTAACAGTGAGAGCCATAGCAACAGTGGGAGCCATAGCAACAGTGGGAGGTATAACAACAGTGGGAGCCATAGCAACAGTGGGAGTTATAGCAACAGTGGGAGGTATAGCAACAGTGGGAGCCATAGCAACAGTGGGAGCCATAGCAATAGTGGGAGGTATAGCAACAGTGGGAGGTATAGCAACAGTGGGAGCCATAGCAACAGTGGGAGCCATAGCAATAGTGGGAGGTATAGCAACAGTGAGAGGTATAGCAACAGTGGGAGCCATTCCAACAGTGGGAGTTATAACAACAGTAGGAGGTATAACAACAGTGGGAGCCATAGCAATAGTGGGAGGCGTGAAGATAGTGGCTGCAGGTATTTACAACCCCTCACCAAACATTAGAAACTCTAGGGAAGTCTTCAGGGAGGAGTGTCTGGAAGTGATGGAAAACGCAGCCAGAGTGACAATGGGAAACAAGCACTTAAATCATAATGCTGTGGGACTCCAACTATAGAGTTTTGACTTGATATATGAAGGATTCCCGGGGGATAGAGCATAGAACAAAACTGATAGACATGTTGGACAAACACTTCATAAAAACAGCATATTAAAGCACCAACAAAAGTAATGGGAAGGACCCACCAGCAACAATAGATTTGGTGTTTTATTTCATCAAAATGAGGCAGATTTAAAAAAAAATAGAGAATGAGATGCCTCTAGGCGCTAGAGACCTGTACATTGTCATGCTTGAAGACATAGTGGAGGTAAAGGAGTTGGGTCCATAGAGAAACCTGTGGGAGTGAACATCACATTACTGTCGTGACGACTATCATAAGATCAGGGACTTTCTGTGAGGAATCCAGTGAAGCCTGCAAGTGAAGACTGTAAATTTGATGAAGAACTTCTATGCTGGTAACTGTGTCTGTGCCTCTGAGCACTCCATGTCTCTCAAGAACGACGTTGACAAGAAAGGGAGAGTAAGGCACTGGTTCACTAGGCAAAGCTGTAAAACCTGTAGGGATATAGGAACAGAGAACAATAAAGAGGCTCTTAAGAAAACCCGAAACGAATACAACTAATTTAGGACTGAAGATGTGAGGCAATTTGACAATGTGATTGCTGCAAGAGGTAAGGAGAAGCCAAATTATTCTATAGCCATATATGGATAAAAGCAAGCGTGCGAGGCCATATGTAATACAAGGAGAGACTTCAGAAGCTCCTTACAGTAGCACCAGCGTGAAGATCAAGGTTGTGAGATGAAAGGCTAGAGGAAACAATGGACAACATTGCAGATCTTGTTGAAGAGGCATTAAAACACTGGGCGGAACTAGATGTGACATTGTTAATGAGGCCAGAGCAAGCCTCACCATGAATGCTGAAGAAGTACTTTGTCACCCACTGACCTATTGTCTAAAATTTGTAATCAAATGCTTGACTCAGGGAAATCGCCCAGAAATTTGGAAAAAGGCAAATATCCCAATATTCAAAAAACAGGATAGAAAGGCTGTACTAAACTATAGACCAGCGTCATTAACAAGTATTCCTTGTAAAGTGCTGGAGAAAGTAATATGGTCAAGAATGGTGGCACTCTTGGGAGTACCGATTTTATTATATATATATGAAGGGAAAGTCATTCCGGACAAACTTACTAAAATAAAAAAGGAAAAGGTACTCTGGGGTAGACTACTGTTTTCCAGATTGTCCTCAAAAAACATTTTCCTGAAACACTGGTGAACAAGCTGGAGAAGCAGGCTGGAATAACTGGGAAAACACTGGACTGGTTAAGGGAGTACCTGAAGGACAAAACACAGACAGTCACAGTCAGAGAGGAGGTTTTATACTGGAGAAATGGAAGCAGTATGGTCCCTCAGGGCTCAGTCATGGAGCCATTGCTGTTTCTAATCTAAGTGAGCAACCTATGTGTAGGAATGAGCTGTGACGGCAATGTTTGTCGATGATGCAAAGCTAATGAGGAAAGTAAAATCAGAGGAACACTGCAGTAAGTGTCAGGAGGATTTTGTCAAACTCCACCAGTGGTCAAGCTAATGTTTGATGGAATTCAATCCCAACAAGTGTAAGGCAATGAAGATAAGAAAGGATGAGAGAGATGCTTCAGACCAGTGCACTGTCAGGCTTGAATACATAGTGGAGTTGAGGAATTGGTTACACAAAGAAGCCTGTTGAAGAAGATTACGGATGTGAGCACTTCAACAACACGAGGGACTTTCTGCACGAAACCCAATGAGACAAATGATTGCAAGGGGAAGGCAAGAAGTTAAATGATGGACGTCTTTGCTGGTAAATATGCTGATGAAATGGAGCAGTTCATACGTCTCAAGAACCAGGCGGACGTAGCAAATAAAGTCAATTTTTTCTTCAATGAGCACTACAGGGAGGCTAAAGAAACAATAAAGAAGACTGGAAAAGTATTGTGAACTAGAAACAAAGGAAAACAGACACGACACTAAAGAGAAACCAGGAACGAATATACCAGAGATAAGAGAGAAGCTCAGAGGCAATTTGAAAATTAGATTACTGCTAAAGTTAAAGGAACACTCCAAGCTGTCCTAAAGCCCTGTAAGGAACACTCTAAGCTGTCCTAAAGCCCTGTAAGGAACACTCTAAGCTGTCCTAAAGCCGTGTAAGGAACACTAAAGCCGTGTAAGGAACACTAAGGCCGTGTAAGGAACACTAAGGCCGTGTAAGGAACACTAAGGCCGTGTAAGGAACACTAAGGCCGTGTAAGGAACACTAAGGCCGTGTAAGGAACACTAAGGCCGTGTAAGGAACACTAAGGCCGTGTAAGGAACACTAAGGTCGTGTAAGGAACACTAAGGCCGTGTAAGGAACACTAAGGCCGTGTAAGGAACACTAAGGCCGTGTAAGGAACACTAAGGCCGTGTAAGGAACACTAAGGCCGTGTAAGGAACACTAAGGCCGTGTAAGGAACACTAAGGCCGTGTAAGGAACACTAAGGCCGTGTAAGGAACACTAAGGCCGTGTAAGGAACACTAAGGCCGTGTAAGGAACACTAAGGCCGTGTAAGGAACACTAAGGCCGTGTAAGGAACACTAAAGCCGTGTAAGGAACACTAAGGCCGTGTAAGGAACACTAAGGCCGTGTAAGGAACACTAAGGCCGTGTAAGGAACACTAAAGCCGTGTAAGGAACACTAAGGCCGTGTAAGGAACACTAAGGCCGTGTAAGGAACACTAAGGCCGTGTAAGGAACACTAAGGCCGTGTAAGGAGGGGAACAATGGTGTAAGACCAGGACTCAGACTGAGGGGAGAAGGAGGAAAATAATATTGAGAGATGTGAGAAAAACAACAAAATATTTCAGGTAGATTTTTATATTTATCGGCTTGAAGACGCTGGCAAATATAAGAACATTATTTAGAAACATAAATCACGACTATCTCATGGCAATGTACACAACATATGTTAGACCAACACTGGAATATGCAGCAACGGCATGGAATTCGTCGTACCTTGTGAAGTGTAAAAGCAAAATTTAAAATGTTCAATGGTTTGTAACAAGACTGGTGCCAGCGCTAAGAGGGTTATAGTACAGGAATAGGTTAATAGAACTAAATCTCATAACGCTAGAGACAGAGGGGATATGATCACAACACACAAGATACTGAAGGGAACAGCTAAGGCGGACAGGGATAGAAGCTGCGATTAAGGCTTCAAACTAAGAGAAATTAGGATACTAGGACACAAGTGTCACCTGGAAAGGCAAGCGGCCCGCCAGGAGTGTCGGGAACTACTCGACCCAGCACACGTGGCCAACAAGGTGAAGGCACTAAAAGATAAAGTTGTGAAAGCCACCTCCATCCACATCTTGAATTCGACAGATTTTCATATATGTGCGAATAAGCCTGAATGGTCCCCAGGCATACATGCAACTGAAAACTCACACCCCAGAAATGACTCGAACCCATACTGCCAGGAGCACTATGCATCTGGTGTAACACTCGACCATCACGACCGGACATCAGCCCGCAGTGCTGGCGGGCTGATGGGCAAATAGCCTCGGCTACCATCAGCTTTTGTCCAGTCGTGATGGTCGAGTGGATAAGGAGCCCTGTACACCAGTTGCATAGTGCTCCTGGCAGTATGGGTTCGAGTCACTTCTGGGGTGTGAGTTTTCAGTTGCATGTATGCCTGGGGACCATTCAGGCTTGTTCGCATTTGTGTTTCTCACGTGTAAGTGTTTATGTAGATCGTGTAATACGTACACGAACTTCAACGAATTAGCCAAATTATTGTGAATAACGAATACAGCTATTGGCTAAATCGCATTTGACAGCAGATAATTCGGGCCCCCCCTAGGGGAGGATAAATGGCCCCCAACGAAAGACATTACAGTGGATTATAAAAAATATATTTTCTGAGAGATACAAGAAGGATGAAAAGGCGATTCAAGATATCACTGACAGGAAAACAATACAGTGAAAACGCAAGACTTCGCCCAATTATTTATTATAACAACTCTGGAACTCTCGTACAACTTCCATAACAATAACATCCTAAGTACAACACCATCGCCGCCTCCTCTGACACACTGAGGTGCACTAATGTAGTGTGTCAACACAAGTGCAGTTCTGGAGACTGAGCGCTCCAGATGTATGCTGTATTAGACATGCCACGAACACACACTGATAACACCATCCGGACTCGTCGAGACATAGTGAAGAACACCCCAATAATCACACTCACTAGTGATTAAATGAGGCAATGAACCAGTGTTCAATTCGAACACTGTTCAAATTCGAGGGGATTCGATGAAATAACTATGCCCAAGTTTACCAGCAAGTGCCGTCGGGACGGCACTTGAACCTTCAATGTAAGTACATAGGTATGACGTCGACCAAGCTGACGAGGC